GTGTCCTGGTCCACAAGGGTTCTGGTCCACAAGGGTTCTGGTCCACAAGGGTTCTGGTCCACTCCTCATAAGCAAACTGCTCCAGCCATTTTGGGTTTGAAGGCTCCTTCTCCAGACGTTCAACAGGATCAAGGCTCAGAACAGTCCAGTGGTTGGTTCTGATCCATTCTTGGTGTTAGCTGTGTGTTTTGGGTCAGTATCTTGTTGGAGGACTCACCTGTGAGTGACACCAAACTCTCTGACAATGAGCAGAACGTTTCACTCAGGAGGCATTGATGGCCTTGAGATTTCATTGTACCCTGCACAGATTCAGGACATCCTCAGGACCAGAACCAGAACTGAGCCTCCTCCATGTCCCACTGTAGGTACAGGGTTCTGTTCAGAGCTGATGGGACTTGTTGTCAAAAAGCTCCAGTTTTGTCTCATCTGTCCAGAGGAAGTTCTCACAGAAGATTTGTGTCTTCTCGACGTGTCTTTTGGCAAATTCTAGTCTTTTTTATGATGTGGTGTCCTCCTCGGTCGTCTTCGACGAAGTCCACTCTGTCCCAAACAGACCAATGGTGAGATCTGACATTGATGACCTTTGACCCTGGAGTTCACCTCTAATCTCTGTGGGAGTTGTTCTGGACTCTTTGGTTACCATTTGTATTAACAGTCTCTTGGAGCCGTCTTTAGTTGTCCTCTTGTGGACACGTCCTGGCAGGTTGTCTCCGGTCCTGTGGACCTTCTGGATAATGTGTGCAGCTGTAGTCAGAGGAACATCAAGCTGATGGAGATGCTCTGATAGTCTTTACCTTCAATATGCTGTTAATCATCGTCTCTAAGCTTGGTTACACACCATGACACCAAACAGCCCTGTGACTACCTTTTCAACAGACAGACTGATTACAGACTGAAGACACCTGAGACGCTGACTGCAGGACACACCTGAGTCTAACATGTCCCTGTGGACAGATTAGTTTCAGTCTTTTCTAGGAGCACCGTCCATGCTGTCAAGGCCAGTTTCATTAGTTTGTTTTTTAAATTGAGCCTAAATTTAAAAGCGACGACCGATCTTCAATTGTTGGTTTTTAGTGTTGGTTTTTTTTCTTTTTGTTACCTTTGTGGATTTTTGTTTTTTTCTTTGACAAAACTATTTAAACAGATTTAATTTGCCTGGATTTTGAAACGATGTTCTGTTAATTCATTAAATGTTTCCTTGAACCGGATCTAACAATTTATTTAAACCTCAGTGAAGATGTGGTCAAACATCTTGTGTCAGATCATTATTTTACATGTCAGAGGATCTCAGGTGGAGGGGAGGTGTCCATGCAGTCAGGTGGACCTGACCCCTCAGACCTGGACGTTACGCAACTCCAGAACACATGCTGGGGTGAAAGTGAGGCCAATATGAGCCGGGTTCTGTTATTGGGCAACCAATTGGAGCAGGCTGAGAAATTAAAACATGGGAAGATGATAAGGCTCTTCGTCTGTTCAGTGTGTGTGTGTGTGTGTGTGTGTGTGTGTGTTATCACCTTGCTGCCCGTGAGCTGAGCCAGGTGGGGTTTGAGCTCCTCTCCAATGACAGAGTAGATGGCCACCAAACAGAACACGCTGGCCTTGCGAACGCTGCTCTCTGTGTTATCATAGCCCTGCGGAAGAGACACGGCAGCATTAGACGGCCACGCGCACGTCAGCGTGCGCTCACACACACACACACACACACGAGGTCAGCGGGAACGTGGGAGGGGTCAGAGCAGAGTACACAACAAACATTTCCAGGGACAAATGAGGCAAATAATACCCGCTTGTCCAAATACGCTTTTGTGGAATTTTGTCTCCAGACGCCTCTCCTCTGAGGTTATAAAACCCAAAAGTTCGTTAAGATAAAGGCTTTGATTCACCTGTTTGAGGCGACATAACTTTAATCTCATCTAATAAACCCATCAGAATCTTTAAAACCTGATCCAAAGGTTAGTTTAAGGGTTAGGACCTGCAGCAGTCCTGGGATGATGTCGGGCAGCAGTTGAAGTAAAGACTCCTTGGCGATGCGTTCAATGACCTTCGTTTGCATCTTGATGGCAGCCAGGTTGATTGGGTAGTCGGCCGTTTGGACGATGGGACACAGAACTTTGATGCACTGCTCGGGGTGGATGGAGCCGGCCAGCGTAGACGCCGCCTCCTCGGCCGCTCGCACCACCTCAAACACAAAAATTTATTATTTTAAATCCACCGGCTGAAACAGATCGGTCGAACATCAGCTTCACAGACTGAGAAAAACTCTAAATCCAAACCAGTTTAGGATCCTGGTCTCCATTACCTCCTTGTGAGAGTCTTTGTGAGCCTCCAGTGTCTTCATGATGGTCAGCTCCGCGTAGTTTTTGAATCGGGCCGGCTGGTTCCGCAGGATTTCCTTCAACACGCGCAGGGCCAGAGCTCGGATGGTGTGCTGATCGAAAAACAGAAACAGAACCAGTTAGAAAAAAAGATGCATACATTCTGGTAATATTTTACTTCAAATCTTCACGTTCAGAAACGTTTAAAAGCCCTGGACTCGTCTCTAAGTTGTCTCAATTTAGTTTCCACGAGTCAGAGAGTGCAAGAAACACGACGCGTATGGGAGGGTTCTGTAACTGATGAAAGCTGCTGACTGGGGACAGAAAAGAGACTAAACTGGGATCAAAAGGAGACAAATGACTCACTTTGGGACAGAACCAACTCAGAAAGGTTTAAACGTGCGTTTTATTTATTTTCTGTCTCCAACCAGTCGCCAGCAGTCTAAGCCCAGAGCTGGTTTGAGTGATCGTCAAGTTTCCAAGGAGTTAAAACGAACAAATTCAAAGAAATAACGCAGCCATCATCAAGTTTTTATGTTTCCATCAGTACCACGCAGTGATACCACATGTTGATTGATTCATACTGGTACTTTTCCAGTCACCTACCACACAACCCCTCTTAGAAAAATAAAAGCAAAAGACAAACAACTCTGATCTTGGATTGTTTTATCCTGAAGTAGCAGTTGGAAAGGATTTAAAGATTCAGGTCTCTAGTGAGACAATGAAGGATTATAGAAATCCTCAGCTAACAGGTTTTCATCAGCACACGTCTCTGAGCCTGGAGCCTCAAAAGGCGGGACCACTCGAAGTCTAGGGGTGGTCCAGGAAAACCAGAATCCACAACAGATTTCAGGAGTTGTATTATATGGAGGGTGGAATGTGACAAAATGAAATAAATAAATGTTCCATTAAATAATGAAATGTATGATGTCATTATTTTAAAAGGTACATTTATTTATTTCATGGGACATTTAATTAATTAACTGTGTATTTAATAATTTAATTGTATATTTAATGATGTATTTATTTATTTTTGTCACATTCCACCCTCCACAGTATTAAGCTGCTCAAAAAAAGTTTTTAAAAAGCCATTTAATATAGGTAGACTTTATATTTGTTATTTTATAGTTACTCATTAAAATGGCAGTGTTGGCCTAAAACCTGATACATTTATATTTATAAATATATGAATACATATTTTATAAATTCTGATATGAGGACATCATTTTTGCCACCATATTCTTTATCTTTGTCCTGTTTTCATTGTCAGAGTAGCTTTAAAGATGTATTTTTTAATCCTAATTTTAAATATTTAAATTTTTAAAGTATTTTATGCCAACAAAAATCAATGTTTTTTTTTTATTTTTATAATGATCTTCTAATATCAAATAGCTGGGTGAAACGGGACGTCCACACCAAACAAAGCCTGGGAGTAAGACATTATTTCTAGTAAAGGGGGCAGGAAGAGATCCAGCAAAATTATAGAGGTGGGAACTTGCCCCCTCTGAACCCCACTCGGTGGTGCCCCTGACATCCTGTCCCAATCATGTGAATGCTGTTATTTTTTAAAGCAAAATCTGACAATGGTCCTTAATCATCTTGTTAAAGATGTTTTTATTGTTGTGCGGAAACTTGAGCTCTAAAGTGAGTTAAATATTTAAAAATTTACCTGTATTTTTTTAAATAAATTGGTGTAATTACCGACAGGTATCAAGAGTTTCTGCTTAAAATGCCCGTTCCTACTCAACATATTTTAGACTTTTAATCCAATAAGACTGGACTGGAAAAATAAAACTTCAAACCTTCAGAAAGTCTAAAGAACCGTGGATTCAGACCACTTTGAAAGGTTACAAGAAGGGACACAAACATGAGAAAATCTTCTAAAGAACCAGAACTCGGGAGGCAACGTACATCTTTATCGCACAGCGTCTCCAGGAGGAGGAGGAGGATGGTTTTGAAGTGTTCGTCCCACACCGCCGTGTTGTCCTCCCGGGTGATCTTCAGCAGCTCCACCAGGGCTCCTTTACGCTCCTCGGAGCGCTCGTTGTGATTGGACAGCTCTTTCAGGACGTCGGCCACCAGGTCCGAGTGGTCCGGACCAACTGTTGGCATCAAACAGGAGGAGCGGGACGAGTCAAACATCGGCTCAGAGGAGAATCATTTCACGACATCCCCCTAAACCCAAACGAGCTGTTGTATTTGCAGCTGAACCCAGATGTTTCCCATCCACTGAAAGACCCAGAACCAGAACCAGTCGTCTGATATTAAACCAGACTACACTCTCCTGTTTCAGGGCCGTTGGGCTCGGTTTATACGGTGTATGTAAACATCTGGTTTCATCTGTATTTAGAGAAAGAGGTTAAATTTAAGATGGAAAGTCATAAAAAGCTGTTAGATCAACCTGAAAGTCTTCATCAGAGCTGTCTGAGCTGTCAATTTGTCATTTTTAATGCTCTGGGCAGAAGATCGAATGAGATGGAGTTCATCTTTACGTGTAAAGGAATTAGTAATCAGAGACGTTTAACCGCCTCCACAGAAAACTCCAGATGTTAGTGAAGTCTGCAGGGACAGAGGAGGAGGAAGAGGAGGGACATGAGGGGAGCAGAGACAAACAGGTGACAGAAAGTCATCAGTCATTCAGGCAGAGAGGCATCTTTACCAGGAGCAAAGCTTTTGGGGGGGGCCATCTTGTTTTCACCACTATCCTGCCGTCGGCCTGCAGAGGAGAAGGAGGAGGACGAGGGATGAAGGTGGAGGATGGAGGGGGGACGACAGGGTGAGGAGAGAAGAATGTGATGACAACAACAAACATGAAGCTACTAATGAGGCTCTGCACGTGTTACAACCCACTGAACCACTGAAACGGAGGCGGCAGCAGCAGTTTTCATTGACGAGGTCGAGTTACATGATTGGGGGGCGGAGCCTGCTGGAGGATAAAACTGCTTCCACATCGTGGCGGCGAACACAACTTAAAAACTTTCTTCTACAGACTCAAATTTTCTAGAGGTTTTAAATGTTTTGGGCCATTTTCTTCAGGTCCAGGTACAAACATTCGGTGTGGTCAGGCGCTCTTGAAGGAACGAACATCACGTGCTGCCATGATAGTCAACTCTCAGATACCACCACACCACAGTCTAGCTCCAAATCTACAACAAGGACCGAGCCGTTTGTGTTCTCTAATGTTGCCTATCGAACGGCGTGCTGCTACTCACAGTCTCTGAACTGCTCCACGTCGTCGTCAAACACGGCTTCCTTCAGGGCACTCTTATCGTAGGTGCAGATGGTGTCTCCGTAACCGTACGGGGAGAAGTCCCGGCTGCGCGGACCGGCGAAGGAGCGCGGCGACGGCGTGTTGAGCAGCGAGGTCTTGTTGTCCAACGCGGTGCGCCCGCTCTCCAACACGTCCAAACCCAGACGGGCATCAGAACCAGGAGACGAGGTGACTCCTTCTCTCCCCGCCTTTAAGACCAGATAAAACCAGATGTTTGTTTTTCATCAGTTGATGTGAAATCAGAGCCGTTGTTTGTAAACATCAGTTTTTAACTGTTTATTGGAGATGAGAATAAAACAGCAGAAAACAACAAACAGCTTTGTCTTTCATTAATAAATCTCCAGCTCTTCGGTTCCGGTAACGCCGCCGCTGACTTACTGCATCGTCCCTCTTCCCGTCCCGTCGGACCGGCTCGTTCAGGTCCTCCTGGCTCCGGTAGCTGAAGTTCTGGATGGCCTCGGTGACGCCTCGAAGCGAGCTGTAGATCTCCTCGGAGTTCATGTTCTCCGTGTCGTACTCCATCATGCTGACAGACAGAAGCGGACATCTGAGCAAACACGTAACTGGAGTCAGCACACATGCACACGCACATGCACGCACACATGCACAGCGCTCTGGGGTCAAGGGATGAAACCTAACCGTGGCATCTTGTGGTTTTTCACCTAAAGCAATGAGGTGTTGCTGAACGCCGTTTGTTTCATTTGAAACGTTCGTCCAGCAAGAAGATAAGATGAACCTAAAGCCGTGAGATGGATCGGAAAACAGTAGCAAGGTGTGTGTGGTGGGGTGGTGGGGGTCTCAGGCTGCCTCGTTACCTGGGTGAAAACGCTCTGCGCAGGACCCTGAGGGAGGGGGCTGCAGGGGTGGAGTGAGGCGGAGGGGGTGGAGGAGGGGCTGGAGGGTGCTTTGACAGCCCGTCGACCCCCCAACCCCAAACCCGACTGTCGCCACGAGGCAGAGAGGTAAGAGAGGAGGGAGAGGCGGATGGAAACCATCGAGACAGGAGGAGAGAAAAGACAAAAAGAAAGGAGTCTGAGCTTGGAGGTCAGGAGAGTTAGTACAGAGGAAAGGAGCAGACACCCCCCCCCCCCCCCCTGATCTAAATGTTCTGAAACAAAACTTTGCAGGTTCAGGAACAGACCAGAAGGAGAGCGTCGACCGAACGAGCTGCTCAGCCTGAGGACTCATCTGGTTTTAGAAATTAATAAAAAAATGTGACAAACAGCAGGTTGTTTAACTCTGACTAAACTGTGACTAAAACCATCACGAGTACAGAAATGAAAACATGTCAGTTATTAAAAAACATAAATGTAGCTTTAACATTTAACTTGAGTTTTTGTTTCAGCTAGAACCCAAAATATTTCATGTTCATTCAATTATTTATTATTATCCAAGAACAGTAGAACTGGAATAGTTTAGTTCTCGCAGAAACCAAAGAACAGTAGAGCTGGGACAGTTCTTTCTAACACCAAAGAACAGTAGAACTGGGACAGTTCTTTCTGACACCAAAGAACAGTAGAACTGGGACAGTTCTTTCTGACACCAAAGAACAGTAGAGCTGGGACAGTTTAGTTCTCACAGGAACCAAAGAACAGTAGAGCTGGGACAGTTCTTTCTAACACCAAAGAACAGTAGAGCTGGGACAGTTTAGTTCTCACAAAAACCAAATGACAGTAGAACTGGGACAGTTCTTTCTGACACCAAAGAACAGTAGAACTGGGATAGTTTAGTTCTTTCTGACACCAAAGA